TACATATTGTCCCAATCTATAGAGTGTTAAAGTTAATGAGATAATTCAATTATTAATTAAGGGATGATTAAGCATTAGTGATGAAAACCTGCTGTTAACAAGCAGAATGACTAAAGAAAAGAGAAACACAAGAACTACAACTGACTTCAACCACACCCTTAGTTGAAATCAACTGAAGATAAAAGAAGACATTAGCCCTTTCACGCATAGTGGTCACTACAGTGGACAGCTATTTAAAAAGCATTTTCTTGAATTTGCAAGGGTTTTGATGGCAAATGTTGCACATCAATCTCTTCAGTGGAACCTGGTGCATCATACCATACATTGCAACCAAGTTGTAAGCCATTGTGTTTAGATTTTTTCCCCCTCCAAACCAAGATGGCCAATGGTCAGTAAGACATGCCAAGTTGCTCCGGAATACCCACCCATTCCTTCTATCCTAGGAGACTCTTGTAGGTAAAAAAAAATATTGCAGCATCAAGCAATATCTAATGAGTCATATCACAGTACAATTTTCCAAGTTTTGGATTGGGAGAAAAATCTGATGAATCACCTGTCCACTATAGTGGACCTCATGCATCAATGGCTATATTTCAGCTACATTTCATACATGTTTACGTAATGAATGTTGCTTGTAATGCATTTATTTATTCGTAACATCAAAAAATAATCTGATTACGTAATGCATGTTACTTGTAATGCATTACTTTACTTGTTAGATCAAAAAGTAATCTGATTTCGTAATGCACGTTATTGTAATGCGTTTCTTTACTCGTAGCATCAAAAAGTAATCTGATTACGTAATGCACATTACTTGTAATTAATTACTTGTTAGATCAAAAAGTAATCTGATTAGGTAATGCATGTTTCTTGTAATACATTTCTTTACTCATAACATTAAAACAAATCTGATTATGTAATGCATGTTACTTGTAACACATTACTTTTCTTGTAACATCAAAAAAGGTTTTCTCAGAAGAGGGCTATGCTAGAAATGTGTCCATCTTGAACATAATCAGAATTATCAGCTAATAAGGGTAAATTGACATAATCTGGCACACTGGAGGGAGCATCTGAGTGGTTTCCACAGTTGTACCTTGACAGGCTGTAGAAAATTCTGATGGAATCACGTCCTCATGTTCTGATATCAAAGATACACAAAGTGCAATTTGTATTAAGGTCAATTGCCTTTGCAATATTTCGGATTTATATATATTTTTATATATTTTATAGTTTTCACATGATTTGATATAATTGTATTGATTAGTTTGTTAAATACACATACTTTATCTGTTTGATTATTCTGTTATGTTTTATACAGTATCTCTTCAGTTTAAACCATAAATGCATGCTGTCCACTCAAGTGGACATCTGAAAATCTCTTTGAAAAATTTGTTTAAAAAAAAAAAATCAAATCTTGTTTTTCATGCCCAAAGAGCAATAAAAACACTAAAAAAATCATCATTGAGGTTATCATAATTCATGCATGAAAGGGTTAAATCTCTGAAGATCTCAGCAGAGGAGGATTAAACAACTCCACAAACAGCATTACCAGCTTCACTTATTACTAACCAGACTGACTTTATTTCAGTCACAAGTCAATGGAAATTATTGTTGAGAGTTGATGTTGATGTTTTAGTGATCAAAAAACGTATGCCACCATTATGCTTTAGTTGGGCCTGTGACCCATTTGTTTTTCTAAAGCAAGCTTCTTTAAGCATTTGCAATAATGTTTCATTATAAACACTTTGATAAACAAAAGGTTCAAAATGCAAATCAGCTTTAATGCTTGCAAGAGTTTTAAATGAAAATCATAAAGTGATCTTTGTTAATGGTCAATTGTCACTCAATTTTTTTTGTTTATAGACTGAGGTTCAGGTATAGCAAATCTGTAAAAAACAAACTAAAATAGTTATATTAAACAATTAATAGTTTTCTATCAAACAATTGTCAATGCTAAAAATTAACAACCACAACCTCTGAAAATATACACTTAGGGTGCTTTCACACTTGGGTCGTCCAAGCCCGAGCGCGTTTGTTCCCGGCACCCCCTGCAGCGTTGGTCTGGTTTTACACTCAACTTGATTCTATCGAACCCTGGTGCCTTTGCGTGCATTTTATGTCATCGCAAACGTGCACGGCACATGATAGAAAACAGATCGTGGGTCAACATAGTGTTTTTTATTTATTCTATGCTATTATGCACAGCTGAGTGAACAACACAGGTTTACTGTGTGTGTGTGTGTGTGTGTGTGTGTGTGTGTGTGTGTGTGTGTGTGTGTCGCATAAGGTTGCTTTCTGCTGCTTGCAAATGGACTCTTTTGAGGAGACTGTGGATTTCCATTAATGTGTTGCCCTGATCACCCGCTATATGCGAATACACTGCAGGCTCACTACGTATCCAAGGTAAATCATCAACACTATCATCCCTTACATGTGTTTTATTTAACTTAATGCATCATAATCAGCTAAAACGCATGCACAGGATACTTTTCTTTCTGAACAAGTGCACACCCCGAGTCCGTGTTGCTTTCACATTCACATGAATCGAGGTACAGTTCGGGAGCAACCGAACTGAGACCACCATTTTTGTAATATGGTGATACCCAGCATGCATTGCAGAATGAAACTTTTTGTTTATTGTCACCATTGTTGAGATTCATATGCTGATTTTTGATGCCTGTGTGTTTGGTTAAAACTGGAGATCAAAATCTTTTATGCACTACACAGTTTGAAAATTACACACGATAAATGATTGGTGCCAAACTTATTTCTCGTGCTGTAGTTTCATAGGGTAGGCAACGCAAAACCTCAAATCTATTAATGACAAAACATTGATTAGTGACTTTAGATGCAATAAGGCCAAGTTCCAATTATATGCTATAATAATAATAAAAAAACGAACATCTTCTGATTTTACTGCTAAACAACATCATATACATTGTTGCAGAGAAAATCTAATATATATTCAGGGTATATCTGAACAATATATTTTATAATATAACTATGATTTTATGAACATTCTTTTCAAGAAGTTTTGTCTTGAGAACAATCTTAAAAAAACACATGTAGTAACTTTTGGAATACAAAATATTCTTAACTTTTTACAAAATAAGTTACAAAATTAGAAGAAAATGATTGTACACATAATGTTTGTATCCTTGTACCCAGGGGCGGACTGGTCATCTGGAGCACCGGGACTTTTCCCGGTGGGCCGCTGGCCAATGTGGCCCGGTACACATAAAAAAAAAAATATATATATATATATAGCCTATATAAAAAATTACGGAATATTACATTTCTTTTCTATGCAAATGGATGAGGGAATCGATCGCGCGGGCGCGGCAGACAAGGAGTGTGTTTCGTGTGTGTGTATTGCCCTCCCTCCCTGTTAAGTTTGGTCTACTCCATTGTGTATCTTGAGAAACGCCCTCTTTCACGTCCTGGAAACACACCAAGCCAACGCCGATGAACTAGCGCAGATGAAAGCCGACTGTGTTGTCGCCTCGCCTCGCATCGCCGCGTCGCAGGAAAAAAACTGCACTTGAACACACCGAGAGAACTACTGCCGACTGTTAGCTAGAATGAGCGTTCTGCACCTGCGTGTAAATGAGACAACTGTCTATTTCTGAAGATATATTCGTCTATATTCGTCATACAAAAAGAGAAACCTGGCGGCTGCACACCGTAAACAAAGCAGTGCGTGCTTACCGTTCTGAAAATCAATCCTGCTAAACACTTTCTTTATTCCACTCCTCTCATGTTAAAATTTAAATATTCGCCAAGGTACACTCAGGTAAGATGACATAACATTAGAACAGCCTTCTATCTGTGCTGTTTTGACTTCTTTGCTCGCTGTTTTGCTATTATTCTCGTGCAGTGGACTGACTCGTTCACTATAAGCTGAACAGCCAATCAGAGTTCCCTCTTTCACCGACATGTCGAATCGACCGAAAAAAAGCCGGCGAGGACAAATTTCAGCCGACGGTGCGGAACAACTGAGAAAACTTAGTCGGCCGACGCACAAAAACTGGCCGATGGCAGACCGCCGGCTTGGTGTGTTCCGGGCTTAATTTACAGAGAGAGAGATTGATCCTTTACATCGAACTTCTCTGAGCAGATAATTAATAATAATTGTCCATGGATGAAAAGGGGAAGAAAAGAAAAGGTGGAGCTGAACAGTTATGCATTAAAAAAACATTAGAGGTAGATGCTGTGAAATGCTTCAAATTAACAGATTATACATTTGGCGCGAAGAGTAGCAGTTCAGCAGGCTCTGATGGCTCTAGCTCCCCCTGACTAGCTGATATGCTGTCTTTATAGTTTTGTATTAATAATGTTGTGTCTTAATGTTCTTCTTTTTGTTTCCCATTGGTTTTACAAATATGACCTAATATATGTTGTGTTACTTAAAAAAATTGTTTAAATATAATTTATTTTTGTATTGTGTTATTTATGCTATAAGGGGTGTTAAAAAAATATTCTGCACATTAATGGGCCAATGTGTTATGATTTGGAATGTGGTGGGCTGCTGTGGGCCAGAAAGTCCAGGGCCGCTTTTTGGTCCTAGTCCGCCCCTGCTTGTACCCTGTACCCTTTCTGAGGAGATTATAAAATTAATAATTTTCTTCATGAACTTGAGAGACTGTCAATAGTTCCTCTAGTAACACATTATAATATAAACTCTTTGAGGATCTTGAAATATATATTTAAGATCTTGAGTTCACAATATTATTTTGAGCTTCAGTGTTTCAGTCTGAAGAATCACAAATGAAGCCTCAAGTATCTTTTCACTTTTACTCTGTTGAGTTTGTTCTGGACTAGATGAAGAAAAGAGAAACATTCTCAAAAAAAGAGTTAATATTCATTATATGCCAGTAGTATGATCTTCATTTGCTACAAACTGAAATAATCTAGTGCTTTTGTGTCATAAACCCATGCCTGATTCCCAGTGTGTGTGTGTGTGTGTGTGTAACAGCACAGATCTCCTCCAGACTCACTGTTTTGGACGATGTCCTGCATCTTCTTCCAGACTCTGAACGGCAGGTTGCCCAAGTATCGTGGCACATGAATCAAAGCTCCAGAAGCCATCTGTGGATCCGGCTGTGAGATCTGGACTCTGGAGGAACATTCAGGAGTCAGAACTGCAGTGGATCAGAACCAGAGAGACCAGAGACACCAGCAGATCACTCACCTTTCCATTGAGACTGGAAACTCCTGCAGAACAAACACACCATTTATCATCAAGAAATCAATCAATCAATCAATCAATCAATCAATCAATCAATGATGTGAAATCAGACCTTCAGAAAGCAGACGTCATTGGCTTTCATCATCTCCTCCATGTCTTTGATTGTGTGTGAAAGATCTGAGATGTGTCTGTTCATCTCCTCCAGCTTCTCCTTCATCATCTGCTTCTTCTGCTCCTCTTCCTCCCTCAGTGCAGTGATTGTAGCTTCTTCTTCATCTCTGAGAAACTGATGAAGCTTCTCAAACTGCTGTTTAATCTGATGCTCTGTGTGCTCAGCGTGAGACTGAAATCAAAATCACATTCACTTTAATCATCTCAAAGACACAACTGATTCTGGAGCAGCATGAAGAGTGAGTGGGGAAATGTGGGTTAGTTAATTACAACTTTAACTTTCTGAAGTACTAGCACGGTAGTAGTAGATGATCTGTGTTTGTAGGGTGAAAATACACATCATCAATGAATCATCAGGTAAAAGCATAATGTCAGCAGCTCAGTGACTGTTGCAATAAAAGTTTGTTGCGCTCATGAATATTAATCACATTGTCTACATTCTCCCAAACTAGCCAATGGGATTTGTGCTTGAGCATTAGTCCCGCCCACTGCTGAATAACCAGCCGAGAGAGGCGTCTGCGCTTGATCATCTTTATACACAAACGGTTGTGTGTTTCAGTCAATAAAGGAACATGTAATTATGTCCGACAAATCAATTCAGTTGTTCTAATCAAACTTTTGCTTATGCCAAAAGAATAAATTCTCACCTTGATGTGTTGAACTGTTTTCTCAAACTCTTCTTTAATGTTTTTATTGTGTTTAAGTTTCTCTTGTAAGGACTTCAGTGCTGTATTAAGCTCCTCCTAGAATTTAAAAAGAAAATCTATAAGACACCAGAGATTTCTATAATATGATCTTAGATGTACCCACATAGTAATGTTTCTGGTTCAGCTCCAGTCCTCACAGGCCCTTTTCCCTCGGCCCACATGTTGCACAGATATGGGCTATAGACAAGGGCCACACATGAGCCATAAATAGCCCAAGTCTCAGCCAATTGCTGACCCATAACTGGGTCTGCACTGGGCCTGAATAGGTTTTAGTGTTGGTACCGATTTTCAGCCTTAAGTAAACCAGAAACCCCAAAACTGAGCCACACCTGAGCCTTATCTACACTGAGAAAAAGCTGTATTGACTGTCATTGACTGTCAGCTACGGCTGCCAAACAAAACACTTACAATTAAAGTAAAATATCCTAATTTAAAAAACACTGTTATTTTACAGATATTTCCTGAATTATTACTAACAAACATATTCACTGTAAAACGAGAATCTCTTGCAGTTAACATGCATGAATTAATCTAACTATTTGTCACTGCATCAGCAACTACACAATCACTGCATGTTAAATAAAGCAACATGCTGGAAGTAACATTATTCAAGAACCGCTATAACGCCAAAACAGTCTGTTACCTTAAATTATATGTTTATCTCTGTAAAGCTGCTTTGAAACAATTCATTGTTAAAAGCGCTATATAAATGAAGATGACTTGCAGCATAACACCAATGTTTTCTTGCCCATCCTGGACTGAAGCACAAGCTCTACTCTTCAACACAATGGTGACCCACACAACCTTCTAAATCAAAACATTAAACACTAACCGATCTCTCAAGATCTCAGCATCTTCACTTATTACAATCCAGACTTTATTTCTTTCATAGTAATGTTCTAATTGAGAATTGTTGATTGTTTTTGAGAGTTGATGTTTTATTGAAAATAATAAAGTTTGAAACCAGTGTTTGCTTTAGTTGGGCTCTTGACCCTTGACTTTAAAACATTAGTTTTTCTCTGGCTGCTGTAACTGTATGTTGGTCACTTTTTAGTGATGGTATAATCATCATTTAGTGGCTTGATTCACTGATCCTAGAGTCTAATCTCTGATTAAATAATTTGATATTAGTTGTTAGAAAACCAGATAATACTGATACTACAATATCAGAAGGATACTATAAATCATGTGAATTAAACCGTTAATGCACTCAGAGATTTGACTTTAAGTGATATCAGTAAATCAGGTTACTACATGATGATGACATCATCACCAATATGTGACCAACATCCTCTGATGAGATTTTCTCCTGAATTTTTTCCATAACAAACATGTATCAGAAACACACAGGTAAAGCAACAAAATAAAAACTAATGTTAAAAAGTCAAGGGTCAAGAGCCCAACTAAAGCACATACTGATCATCATAATGGTGACATCAACATCTAAACCTCTCAATAAGAACTTTAGTATGAAATAAATAATTTTGAATTTCAATAAATTTCCTTGTGCTCCCGAAAAGTGAAGATGCTGAGATCTTGAGAGATCTGTTAGTGTTTAATGTTCTGTTGCTGCCAGTAATTTTAATTTATTCGGGAAATACCTGTAAAATAGCATTTTTTTTTCTGTAAAACATTTAAGGAAAATTTGTGTTAACGTTTTTTGCACTTTATTTAAAATTAGGATATTTTACTTTATTTTTATGGTTTTTGTTTGGCAACAGACATTTGTCCGTTTTTTTCCCCGATCAGTAGTGAGAAAGGAAATAAATATCCAGCACATGAATAAAATACTGTGTATTTCATGACACCATATTAATAAAATGATGCCCCATGATAAACAAAATTAATGAAATATTGAATGATTGGTTAAATGATCACAGAAATCTTCAACTAAATATTTTAAACTGTAGTATTACTTAAAATTAAACTTTGAAATGCCAAGTCATAACAAATTAAACGTTATAATTTCAAATGAAGTAAATTGTAAGTCAGTTAAGTCAACTGCATTGAAATGGACTTAATTGGCCTAAGATCACAATCCTGATTTGGAGCAGATGATCACTGGATTGATCTGGGACACACTCCTCACACCAACAATCGGCCTCATGTTGTTTGCCGTGATCATGCTCTGCCATCATTGCCACACATGAACCAGATCTGGCTGACAGGAGGCCAACAGTGCCAGCGTGAGGACACATTCGAGCCAAGATCCAAGACGTGGGATAATACATAAGCTAAAACAAGTGTTTATCCTCATCTGTAAATCCGTCTTACCTTAAAAGCTGGAACAACTTCACCGATGGGTCTGAATGTGTGATTGAGGTGTTTCTGTGAATCTCTGCACACTAAACACACAGGCTGGTTGTCCTCCAGACAGAAGAGTTTGAGTTTCTCACTGTGTAAACTGCAGAGCTCCTCAGACACTGATGAACAACTCTTCTCATTTCTCTCCTTCAGGAACGACTCACACAAGTTCTTTAATGCAAGATTTAATGGAAGACGATCTTTTGAGGATCTTCTCCTGCAGACAGGACACTCCTGAATTTCCTTGATTCTCCAGAACTGTTGAAGACACTCTTTACAGACACTGTGACTACATGACAGAAGAACAGGAGCGTTGAAGATTTCACAACACACGGGACAAGAAATATCATCTTCAGATAGTGAACCCATTTTCACTCTTTGAGCTTCAGCAATATAAACGTTACTTTCACTTTGTGAACGATGGTTTCAAAAATTAATAACCACAAGAATCTCAAAATCTACTGTCTGTTCAGAAACAAACTTTGCAAAGATCCTGATTGAAAGAGTTTCTGCTGATTCTTGTTTGCCTTTGTTGAAAGAGAAGAGAGTCAGTATGACACACAGGTGAAATAAATCAGTCTTTTCCTGGTTAGTGTTGTAAGAGGGTGGAGTTTCTGATCACCTTTAAACAGGTCAGAAAGGAACATCAAGGTTTCTTCAGGTTAAATTTTAACAAAATGCATTCAAAGTTAACTCACATTGAAACTATCAAGTAATAAACACACGTCTGTTTATCATGCTGATTGTCAGTGTTTGGAGACACGAGCAGAGCTGAGTTGAGTAAACAAAAACTGTACTCAAGTAAAAGTAAGAACTTATAATTACTCAAGCAGAAGTAAAAATTGTAACGTCAATAACTTGAGTAAGAGTGAAAAAGTATCCAATGAAAAAAGCAAGATAATAATGATGGTGAATCAATGTATATCAATAATGTTGATACAAATTATCTTTTTTCATATTTTTTAATAATGCTTCAATTCCTTAAATCATCAATTGCAGAAAAGCAGTAATTTGTCTGATATTTAAACAGACTTGTTGATCTGCTTTATCAATACAGAAATATTCTCAAAAACACTTGCTGATAAATACCAACTTAATGAAAGTCAATGGTCAAGACCCCAACTAAAGCAAACACTGATCCCCATGATGGTGACCTCAAATGAAACATTTTCAATAAGACATCAACATCTAAACCTCTGTTAATTCTCAATAAGAAGAATTCTGTATGGATGTGACGTAAATAAAGTCAGTCTGGTTAGTAATAAACATAAAACTTAATTAAACTTCCATTTTTAATTTAATTTTCCTAACATAGAAATTTAGGTTTACAAAAAGTTTAAGGCAACCACCTTCAGAACTTTTTATAGTTTACTCAACCTCATTTGTATTGCTTTTACAAACTTAAAGTTGGTGTTAAAGTTCAACCAACCTATTAATTTCAGCAAAGAAATGCCAATCTAATATGAGTGAATTAATTTAATAAATGCTATTCAGTAGAATAACAACATTGGTTTCAGAACCAAGCTGCATGAATCATTTCTGAATAACTTTGAAAGTCCAAGTTACCTTCCACCTCTACATCTATGCTCCTTATGTTCGAATTGCAGTTAACTGTCGTCACATCGTCTTGAACAACAGTGGGCACACCAACTTTGAGTCAACTTTTAAAGTAAACTAGACATCAGCTTATATGATGTTCAAACTGTTTGATGTATAGTAGAAGAGCTCAGTTTTACTTTAAATAGCATCAATATAATTATAATTATATTTACTGTATTTAAATGTCATAAGTTTAAATATAGTGAAATTATTTAAAATTGCCCTTTCACATCAAACATGTATGATACAAACACAACAGGACATTAACAGAGCATTCTGGTCAGTTTCAAAATGCAACAAAAAAAATATTCTCTTTTGGTTAAACCATACTTCATGAAATCAGTCAATGAGACTTTTACATGATGATTACATCTTTATCATCAATAAGTAGGCAACATCGTCTTATCACATTTTGTCTGGCGTTTCTTGCCATAACAAACACAATTACAGCTGCCAGAGAAAAAAATACATTAAACTAAAGCAAACACTGGCCACCATAATGGCGACTTCGAACAGTGGCGAGTGGCCCACCCCATCAGAAGTTGGTAATTTTCCAAACTGATGTATAAAATAATTTCATAAACAACAATAATAATAGGAATAAGAATAAACATCTTATCACACTTTGTTAAAAGAAAGATTAAATGGATGTTTCGAAGTTTTCCCTCTCCCTATCGGCGCATACCATACACTTGTCAAAATAAAAAGGTGAATAGGCGGTACTAACAGAAACTGATGAATCAATGTTATCTTTATCACGTAAGGACAACTGAAAAAAGTGAAACTACTGTGTCGTTCATTTAAAGTGCATTTTTATATTGGCCTAAAGTGAAAATCACAATTTCTGATTTAAACCTGTTTTGTTCAGTTTTCCTTAAAGCAAATAACAAACACAAAAAATTATACTTTGGACCAACTTAAAAAAATTACTGTAATTTGTTACAGCTAAATGTATTAGTTTTTCTCAAGCTATATTTTTGATTTGGTTTAAACTTTAAATTTTAATTTAATATCAATCAAGTTATTCTGCTCAACAAAAAGTTAAAGTAACACCGAAGCAGTGTTAAAGTTAATGAGATAATTAATGAGATAATTAAGTGATTAATTGAGTCATGATTGAGCATTATTGAAGACACCTGATGTTAACAAGCAGAATCACTGAAGGAGAAAACCGGAATTTCTATGTCACCGTTATTGAGATCAGTCTATGTTTTAGTTGGGCTCTTGACTTTTAAATCATTAACTTTAGATGTTGTTTGCCTGCTGTACGTGAGTTAAAACAGCCGGAGGAACAACTAGAATAGGTGATCTGATGGTATTGGTTGTGTTTTAACAATCATTATTTCACAATCATTTGACCTGAATAACTGAACTCATATTGAGTCCAATTTAGGTTTACTTTATTAATTATAGCAGCATTGGCCTTGTAGAGCATAATATTTTTACCTTTTACAATGAAATCCAAAGATATTTTTTAAACATGTCTCATGTACAAAAAATAATTTATTGATTCTATTTCATTTTTAGACACACAGACATCAAGAATCACCCTGTGAATCTCATCAATGGTGACAATAATAAGCATGTTGCAGTGCATTCTGGGTGCCACCAATCAAAACTTCATGGCTCCCAGCATGCATTGCTGCATGAATAAATAATGAGCTTATGTTCAGAGGTGATCTGTTTCTCACCATTGCTGAGATTCATACGCTAATTATTGATGTCTGTGTGCGCCAACATAAGTGGTTTTGAAGTTTTCTTTTTATTGAATTGATAATTTGGATTTCATTGAAAAGGCTAAAAACATTATGCTGAACAAGGCCAGTGCTGCTATAATTAATAAAGTAAACCTAAATGGGACTCAATATGAGTTGATTCAGGTCAAATGATTGTGAAATAATGATTATGTTAAAACTCAACCAACACCATCAGATCACCTTTTCTAGTTTTTCATCTGGCTGTCAGCAGCCAAACAACATTAAAAGTTAATGATTTAAGGGTCAAGAGTCCAACTAAAACACACACTGATCACCATAACGGTGATTTAAAAAAAAAAATTTTCTCCTTCAGTGATTCTGCTTGTTAACATCAGGTGTCTTCAATAATGCTCAATCATCACTCAATTAATCACTTAATTATCTCATTAACTTTAACACTGCTTCAGAGTCATTTAACTTTTTGTTGAGCAGAATAACTATTTTGATTGCTATTAAATTAAAATTTAAAGTTTAAACCAAATCAAAAATATAGCTTGAGAAAGACTAATAAATTTAGTTGTAACAAATTACAGTAATTTTTTAGGTTGGTCCAAAGTATCATTTTTTTCAGTGTAGTAGGATTTGCGCGTTTGTAGATTTGAGTTTGAAAAATGGCAACGCAAATACCAATCAGTAGATTTTTTTAAGAAGCCTAAATTGGATATTTCAAGTGTACTACCTGAGGAAACCAAGTCTACCAATGAATTTGGGCAACCTACAAATAAAGCAAGACCACCTGCAGCTGAATCTGAATCTCCTCCTAATGAGCTTTGCACGTCACCATTAATTAAAGACCGGGCATCTGCTAATGAACCAACAGCGTCTACATCAAATGTTTCAAAAACCCCACCACATGACCTGTCTGACCTGGAAGAGCCCCCCATGCAACCCAAATTGCAACGATTTGGATCGACAAATCATGGAGCTGAACAGCTGTTCCATGACGACACCTATGGCTTCATGCGTGCTGCTGTTGACTTTTTACCTGGTACCCACACTTTTGGAGATATTGACTCACTAACAGTTGCATGCAAACATTTTAACATAGACATTGGTTATGCTGAGCTTATAATGTTCATGTAGCAACCAAAACGGTTGGCTGATACTCGACAGGGCTTCACATCACTCATGGACGTGTTGGATAACAGTCCTGAGGACATCTTTCCAAAAGGTAACAAAATGATCCGAGCACTGATTACTCTGACAATAACATCATGCAGTGTTGAAAGACTGTTCTCCACTAAAAAACACATAAAAACATGTCTATGCTCCTCAATGACTGTTAGACCTTATCAGTAATTTACGCTTAATTGTACATTTCTTTACTGTAATCCATGTAATCCAATCTTAACTGTAATCTAAATACTGAGACCATGCACTAAATCAAAGCTTGAGTCAACCGACTTCCTTAAAATGACCAACTGCAGTTTAAATTTATTAATTAATATTTATACTGCACTAATAATGTGAGCAAAGTATTTCTGAGAACTTATTTCGTTTGAGACCACTAAAAAATTATTTAAATAAAGAGATTTCCATTGGATCAGCAACTACATAATCACCTCCTCTTAAATAAAGCAAATCATCAATGTTTCTCGGTCTTCTCCTGGACTGAAGTACAGGCTATACTCTTTAGAAACACAGAGATATCAAAAATCAGCACATGAATCTCAACAATGGTGGCAATATATATATATTTTTATTCATGCTGCAGTGCATGCTGTGAGTTTTATCCTGGAACCCAGCATGCATTGCAACATTAAACTTTTGATTTTTACCATTGTTGAGATTCATATGCTGATTGTTGATGTCTGTGTGTGTCTGAGTCAAGAAGGAGTTCAAAATGTTTTAATGCATTATATGATTTCAATATCCTTTGGAATAACTGATTATAGAAACTAGGGTTGGTCAAATGAAGCTTCATGAAGCACTGATGCTTTCCCCTGAATGTTTCGGGCAAAAATTCAAAGCATCAAGAGTGTTGAAAACAGTCCCATCTTGTGGCAGGTCAAATTTATAGAAGCCATGTACATGAGCAGCTGAGTGCGCAGCGCAGTTGTTTTATCCATTACCCACAAATAAAAGCCTGATAACGCTACATGTTAATTTTTCTGATAATATAATTAACTTTTTAAA